TCAAGGATTTTCCATCTCTGATTGAAGATAGCTAGGAAAAAAATGGAGGAGATTGGCATAAAATAGACTTGGTCCAGATCATATTTATAGCCTGGCCAAGGATCCGTTGTACACCTCTCACGTTCCATTTGTTATATCCCTAGACAGAATTGCAATAGGCAGAAAAGGAGAAAAAACAAAAAGGTATAACAACAGCAGGCCATTTAATTATTTAAAAAAATAATTTGAGGGAGTGCTACGTATAGCAGAGGAGACATAAAAAAGAGGAAAGCAGCATCACACATCTTCCTTCATCCTTTAGCTACCTTTCAGATTCCAACAGGCAGGACAACTTATACAAACTACAGCATGCTGGATATATTAACAAGAAAGTGTGCATTTCAGTTTCCTCATCCACTGACGGACAAAGTTAGTTTCCCAGGTCTTAACTTAAACTATGCTCCCAGCCAGTTAAATTAAAACTCAGCAAGATTTCCCAAAGTATGTTCTAATTTTCTGTGTAAAGCCCCAAATACGTTATGTGAAAGTGTTCTGCTTTAAAATTCACGTTACAGCTTCACTGGTTTTATCCTAATTAATACTAGAATGGACTTTAACGTTAATATATCTCAACCAGCTTAAATTGGAGGGTTTAATCCTCAATATATCTGAAGCCTAGGACAACCAATACAAGGTTTAGACTTTCTGTATCAATATACAGGAGAATGACAGATGTCAATAAAGACATTGGCAGTAAACGCAGTAACATACCTAAAAGCAAATAAGATATTTACACATACACAAAGAAGACTAAACAAAATCATTACTGAACTGCAAGTTGCAGTACTGAACATTTTTTCCAGAACTATGAAGACTGTTGAAAAATAAAGAAGTATTCAGAAAAGGAAGTAATAAAAGATTAAAGTTTTGGCACGAGTAAATATTAGGGCTATTCAAATTGTTGAGGTTTCTTCTTTTCCTTCTATATATCGTCATGTGCCTGGAAATGTACAAATTGCTAAATTAAATTAAAATATTTTATTCTGGCAATTAATAGGACTAAAAATGTGTACTTTGACTTGTGCCTTCCATCTATTTATCCTCCATGTGTCATATAATTTTAATTGCATTTCTTCATTCTCAGACAACTTCACTGACTCAGTTCCAGGTTGAAAAGAAGTTCTGAAAAAAAACTACCTAGTTATTTGAAAATGTTTAAGCTAGAGATTTTAGTACTTCAGAAAGTTGTATATTCCTTTTGCAAATGAAAATAATTGGATGCATTTCAATCTTCAGTAAAAAAAATGCAACAAAATATGAAGCACATGTACATTAAGAATTCATCAAGTTAAGGTGGACAATTTCTATATATACATACAAGGAATAAAAGTAAAATAATAAGAACCCTTAGGGAAGAAGAAATCTGAAAGAATATATATGAATACTAAAGAACAGGATTAATGCAAGTAACTGTAGTAATACTGCAAATAAAGCCAGTAAAGATCATGAAAGCTGTAAAAACTTGTTTTGGAGCACTACTGAAAAAGAAGGACTAGACTTAAGTCTATTTACAGATTCATATAAACTTGGGACTTGTAAAATTTACATAATGAGCCAGTTTAAAGAGCTTTTTCAAAGATCTATCTTTGAAGACCTTCTTAAGCCCTTTTCCTCACCTTTCACAGCCAGCTTAACATTGCTGCAAAGTCTCTACCTTATTTCTTTCTCCTTCCCTGCCTTCAGCCCAGTAGAAGAAAATATTTTAAAAAATCATGCACCTCCACTTCATACCCTCCATTACTGTTACTGCTGCAGCAATACAATCTGACATCCTGCATGTTCACAACCTTTTGGGTTTTCATCAAGATGCCTTTCTATAAATGCATGCTGTATTTGTGTCCTTCCTCACTCTTTCCTCTAATACTTATTTTCTTAGGTCAGATACGAGGCTGTCCTGGCCTGTAACTATCAGTAACAGTTGGAGAACAAAAGAAAAACTAACCCACAAAGTGCAGACAGAGCAATACCTCCGCAGCTTCTGTCACTGAACACTTAGAAGCTTCTTGAGCTGATGCCTAATCTGAATCACTGTTAATAACCAATGAGGGACCTGCCTCTTTCTGAAAGATGTATATACTTAGCGTCCATAATTAAACTGGAAACTACTGCCAAAGAGTATGTGAGGTGTGTTTAATAGGAGTTTAGGATTTTTTTTTCCTCCTTTGCAGGATTTTTAGGAATACCACAAGTTCATTGACAGGGCCCTTGATTTTGTCTCTGCACGTAAGAAATAGTGAAATCATTCAGTATTTCCTTTCCTATAACTTTAATGAGTTACAGAAACATATCTTACACTAACTGCATGCTTTGAATGACAAAAATAAAACCATCTGATTAATCTGAGATTGTTGATATGGAGATACCTTTACCACCCTTACTGCTATTTTGCAACTATTCTTATTCTACAGTATCTTTTGGAGACAAAGAAACTAAAACTTCAATGTTCAGAACGTGAGTACACACAGACAAATAAGAAGTATAATGCTCTTTTCTATTTTTTTCCCCCTCTACTAATTCAAAGTTTTCCTTTCAGCTCTAAGAATGCTAAATGGCAAGCTATTGTCCAGGAACTGAGATAATTCTTGTACATTTTTCTTCAAAAGTAATAGTTAAGTGCATACAAACGTACATGCAGACTCTCATGTTATCATCATTTTGTACATGCAATGTACAAAATCTATTGACAACTTTGCCACTTTATCATCCAATTGTAAAAGAAATTCCCCAAAAAAGGCTTCTGCACATAGATTTAAGTGATTGAATATACGTTACAGTTTTGCAGCAATCTCATGTTCAGTTTCCTCACCACTTAGATTACCAGCTGCCCAGCTCTAACAAGCCTCCATGGTGTTTTTCCCTTCTCTCCTGTAGGCCTGCCTCTCACTTAACTTTCCAGATGAACAGCAGAAATTCAATACCCAGATACACACATCTTAAGAAATTGTACCAAAAAGAGAGGACACTAAACACTTTTTTCAAAGACTACAGGTAAAGCAACTCATTTCTTCCTGATCTTATTCTGAAAACAGACAAAAGTGAAACTGATTGAACTACTCAGGAAAAAAACAAAATTGATAAAAGAAACAAACTCAAAACAAAAATGATGCCTTATTACAGAAGGCACAGATAATCTTGACCAATATTTGTATAGATACATAATTAACCCTGCAAGAAAAAAAAATAAAGGCTCTGCCTTTCTTACCCTGCCCTACATATCAACGTTTTTCTCCTTGTTAGTATTTAAATAGCGTGTTCACCGATCTCATTAACTGATGCAGAACACAAAAACATACTAGCATTATGCATGAAAATGGAGCTAACCCCCACCATAATGGTTTATAGAAACATTCCATTATCTAGCCTTCCAGAAACATGTATGTGGCAAGTTAATACAAACCATCTCAAGCACAAGTTCTATTTATAAATGAATTCATCCACCCTAGCTACCCAGAGTACTATATATATATATTTTGTCATCATAGATACAAGTACTGCTTTCTCTCAAACAATGAAATGAAAAAACAAGAGATGGCATCTTTCTCAACCACATAATACAGATGACCAAGTTCTATAACTCAAAAATTGCCAAGTTAGGAAGAGAATTTAGTGTCCATTAAATGCAACTACACATGAATAAAGCAATACACCACAGAATATGCCTCTTTAGCTTACCAAGGTTATTATTTTATAAAAAGGGAGAAAAGACCTTTTTTAAACTTAACATCTAAGAAATCAATGAATTTGAAACCAGAAGACTCCTACTTCAGGTTGCATCTGAAATACAATATTTATCTCCTCTTTTCAAGAGGAAAAAATAAAATATTTTAAAAATTCCTTTTGTACAAATTAAAAAGAGAACTATTTAATCAGGCTTTGAAAAAGGCTGTGTTGTTCATAATCTTGAACAGCACAATAAATAAAAAAAATTTCAATTTCTCTGTGCATCAGTATTTGTAATTGTGGAAAAACAGGCTTCCAGTTCAAATATCATTATGAAAAATTGACTTTTAGACATAACAATAGCTCAAAATAAAAGTAGTTGGAGAATCTTAAATCCTCTTGCCTTCTTCCTTCATTCTATACTCAACTGTAGACAAAAAAACACTTGTTTTCAATTGAAAGTAGTAAAATCAACATTGGCTAGCTGAATAAGGTACTAAGCTCACACAAATTGACATTTACAATAAAGACCGAACAAAATAGGCCCCTTTTAGCCCCTATGGCATGAGATTTCTTTTAGAAGACACTATGGACTATAGTCTATTCAACTGCATAGAAAATATGGTTAGTAGAAGTACTTCTGTGATGCAGTAAAGACAACATTTGTTCTTTCTGGTTAAGCACTTGAAAGAAACAAGTCTAAAGATACTAGAATTTTTATTTTTAGGTGAAACACGTTATAAAAAACAGATCTATCAAAATCATATTCTTCAGCTCGTTATAATACTATAGCTCTTAGGAAAATATCCTGTTAAAGTTTTACAACAAATGAAATACTTTTAGCACACTTCCACATTTAAGTGTTTCACAACATAAGATTAGAGTCTACTAGCTCCTAATGGTTTATCAGATTACCTCAAAACTAAAATGAAATGTAACTTCCCGCAGAACCATGTAAAATAATTAGCAATTGAAAAGATACTGTGCAACACATTTCTGTTTATATTTTATGCATTAGTACCCCTCCATAATATGTTTAATTTCACCTGCTAAATTCAACAATTGAAGCAATTTAAAACAATTAAAGTTTAACATAGAAATGTAGAAATTAAACAGGTAATGGTTAAGCCACATGTCAAGAGATGTCTTCACTCTACAAAAGCACTCCTCTGAATAAAGGAATGAGAACAGTGGAAAAAACATCACTGCGCATACTGCATAATAAAAGTACTTGTTAATAAACAGTAAATAAAAAAGCATGGTTTCCCCATGAATGAGAAGCTCAGTGGCATTTGCCATACCTTTATCTGTTGTCTTCTAAGCATTGCAAGTTCTCTCATATCTCGGAATGGTTGTAGTAGGTACTGGTAGAGCTCTGTGGTAGCTTCTGCAAGACTGCTGTAGGCCTCATCCTCCATCTGATACAGTTCAAGCAGTTCTACCATGCTTTCTGTGTTTTTGTGTTTTTCCAATAGCTATAAAAAGAAAAACACCAATTTTAATGAACATATTCCAAATTCCTGCTGAAAGCAATAACAGTTTAAAAAGTATCATAGAATCACAAGGTTGGAAACGACCTGCAAGATCATCTAGTCCAACCGCCTTCCCATTCCTATTAGTACCACAAGCACTAACCCACATCTCGTAGCTCCTCATCCAGGCGCCTCTTGAACACTGCCAGGGATGGCGACTCCACCACCTCCCTGGGCAGCCATTCCAGTGCCTGACCACCCTCTGAGAGAAAAGGTTTCTCCTAATGTCCAACCTAAACCTCCTCTGGTACAACTTCTGGCCATTTCCTCGGGTCCTACTATTTGCTTGGGAGAAGAGGCCAGACCCTTTTTCATCATAACCTCAAGAACTTTTAGCCCATCTCTTTTCTCCTCCAAAATCCTCACTTGGAGATGCCAAACAAAAAAGTCTCCATTTTCCACTCACATCTTGAATTTACCCAATCAGATATGATCACTTCTCTGATAACCTTAACCCAGAAAGTATGCCATTCCTGTTGATTTCTTCCCATATCACCTTAAGTAATTCCCCAGTCACCATAAGTGATAAAAGAGAGTACAAAGAGCACAAGAAGTAACATATTCAGACATGCTACTTCATATGTTTCCCACTTTCAAAGGTAGTAGGAGGAATGATGGGGAAAAGTCAAAAGAGAACTCAGATTCTAAGCTTGCTAGCTCACCTATTAATTCATACCTACATAGCTTCATCATATTAATGCTGCTCCAGACAGAGACAGAAATGTATGTGAAACGAAACAGCGATCTGCATTTTACCCCAGATAATTTAGGCATAAAGATCAAATCCAGAATGTCTATTAGATATTTTTAACAAGGAAATTATAAATGTATTTAAAAATTTAAATAAAAATGGTTTTTTTTAAGCATGTGTTTTACTTCACTTAAGGAGACATCCTGTTCATTCCTCCTGTCAGATCTTCTTTAATGGAAAATTGATTCATTTCTACAAATCTGCTACAATGTATGTTTTTAATTTATGTTTGCCTTTCATCTATTTTTGGCATTTGTCTCAACAAACCTCACACGTTGCTGAAAATCTTTTATATATTCAACTGTTCAGCTACACTGATCTCGTACAGACATCAGTAGAGTAATTGATGTGTTTACCAAGTCAAGATTATCTGAAATAAATTCTTCTCTTACTCTCAGACCCTGAAAGTAAGTCTCTTGACCTTCCTTTCACCACCTCAAAAGCATATGCTCACGGTCAAATGTTTAACTAAACACAGATTGGGAAACTACAGAATAACCGTTTTGTATCTTCTTTGTGGTCACTTGAGTTGGATTCTCAGTTTACAAGAAATATTTGCTTTATACATGACTGCATCGAGCATGAATACTGGAAAACAAAATAGAAGGAACTGCAGATAAGAAACTGAATCTTTGATCAATAATTCTCTGGCATCTGATTTATCTGTATCCCAGAAATGTCAAAAGACATATTCTTACCACAGTAGTCCACTCTGTTCCATTATATTCATATTATTCTGCTGTGTTTGTTACTCAAAAGAAAAAAACTAATACAAATTTTGCATTTGATGATTCCCACCACACTGCATCAATTTCTCTGAATCTCTAAATACTGGACAAGATTAAGAAACAGGAATCAGAGAGGCTTATAGTAGCTTAATTTGCTTGCTGATCATTGAGATGATTGACAGATGACAAGCCATAAAATATTTTCCCTCAGCAAGGCTTTTGGAGAAGGGAGATCTGGATGAGACTGTAGAATAGTGACGATGTTTCTCATCAGCAACATAATTTGTTGTTTCACCTAAACAGTTCTGCCTCAGAAATTGTTCCTACTCCAGGCTCACTCACTATGCCCTTCTGCTGACTGCCAGCAGTATGTAATATCCTGTGGTGTTCAAGTTCTCAGTGAGGGTACTGAGTAGCATTCTGTGGTTTGCAGACTATAAAACTAATGTTTTATGCATGTTCTGGGCTAAATGCACACAACTGAACCTCCAACTGAACGGACAGTCAGTCCAGGCACTCTGGGTTTGACTCCTAAATTTCTAAAGACTATGCATTCTTCCAGTTTTAGTCTTTCAGACTATAAAGCCTCCACTTTCCTAGCTCTTCTTGCTTGCCACTGGTGCCTCAAAATACAGTTGCCATACTCAAGCTTTCCCCTACTTGTACAGGCATATCAAAAACCTTCCTGTAATCCCGAAGTTGTAGTTATTCCTCCATCAACACACTGAAAAAACAAACCTTTTCTCTCAAGCGAACTGTTACAATGTATCTGTAATACACTATAACGTTAGTTATAAGCCACTCTGGTAGTGGCTTAGGCTTATTAACTGCTTATTTCATTTTAGGATGAAATCCTACTATTCTGTAGATACACAAACTATACAGGGCAATAAAGAGAAGTAAGAAAAATTAGAAAAAAGCATATCAATATCACCCTTTAAAGGAGTATTTTAAATAATCTAATTTAAGAATAAGAGCAATACAATACAGAGTTGATTTTTTTTTTTCTTTTTTGTTTTGTTTTTCTAATTATTTGCAGATGACTCTTAAGGCCTTTGTGATAGTTTTGGTACTGTGGAAGGCAGTCACAGCTTTGCAGAACTAAGACTAAAAAGGCACCAGAAATTGAAGATTAATTTCAAACGTATGCCCATCCATACAGTGCAAAGGTATTTCAGGACACTGGCAGCATTCATCTACTTACAGTGCTAGTTATTCAGAGAAAATTCCATAAACGGAAATTGGACTGATAACATAATGAGGTATCCTGACACTCATGTACATAGATAAAATAAGCAAACAGGCATAATTTCAGAGCCTTGTCCACATTCAATTTGGTTTGGCCTGCTGCTGGGATTCCCCTAATTCTATGCCTAGAAATGCTTCCCAACTTATTCAAAATACCAAATCCTCAAGGAGTAAATTCTTAAAAACAAATACAAGCAAGGGCATGTTATTCACACAACACATATTATTGTCTTAAATTATTAACACAAGGCCTTTCTTCATTCCTACAGCAACAAACCACACATGCTGCATGTCCTGTGCCTAACAAAGACTTATTTTTTTCTTAAATGAAAATGGTGATGCAATTTCCACACAATTAGAGTTTCAATTAAAAAGACAACACTGGAAAGCTGATTCAGAAACAACCAAATACCACCTCCTTTGATTTAGACCAAAGGGCTATCAAATACGGATATTCTTAAAAATAGGTAGGAAAGTTGCCTGCCTCTTAATACAGGCTACACACACCTGTCCATAAGCACATTTGTATAAAGGCTCATTCAGTCTGCATTTGAGAGGAAAAAACAGCTATATCTCTTAGAAAGGTTGCGAATCAGCTCAAAAGCATGTATACATTTTCTTTCATCAGATCAGTATCATAAAACCATTGGCTCAAATTTCACTTGAGTTAAAAGCTACATGAGGGAAAGAAGAGACAGAAGAAATATAAATGATCCAGTTTTGGAAAAGAAAAAACAAACCACACAGAAATTATGACCTACATTTGAAGTGATAGTTATGATATGCACAATCTAAGGGTATAGAGAAGCATCAGACTACCCTCTCCCGTTTTTTGAAACTGATGTGATTACCACACTCTTCACCAATGCAGTGAGGCATAACAGCTTTGATTCTCTTAGTAGGCATGGTCAGCAAGACAATGAGGCACAGAGACTGGTTTATTACTATCTGTCCTAAAGGGGAGAGCAGACAGATGTCGTTATCCGTGCCCTCCCATTCTGCTCTACAGTGCAGTTCAAGGGAGTTTTTCCTGCCCAGGAACCAAGTCAGAAGTAGTTTTTTTTTTTTTTTTTTTAAGCTGGCTGCCATCCAGACAGTATTTAGACTATCAGATAACGTTAATGCTACGTCTAGCAGAGAATCCACTGAATTAATAATGTCATAAGAAAAGCCTTGCCCCCCCCACAGTCTCACAGGTAGTTTAACTGTGCATGTTCCAATTTTCACGCAGGAAGTACCTAAAGGATCTAATTTCTATTACAGAAATACAAAAACTCAGCTATTATATTTTAGTGAGGCAGAGATATTGGTTCAGCTGGCCAAATGCCTAAACCAACCCAGCACCTTAAAACTGTGTGTTTTCCAAACTGTTAGTATAAAATAAATGAACAATTTCTGTGGCATATTTTATATTCCCACCAGTGGTTAATTCTTAACACTGACATTCAGTGTTACCATTCATTTACTTTAACCACTTCATCATGAATATTTTTACTTCCACGTTTTTTTTTTAAAAAAGATATTATTTAATGAAGTGGGTGGAGGAGGGCAGAGTAATATCCTGTACAGGCCTGACTAGTGCAATAACCATTGAATACTGTATTTATTTTAAGAATGATGTTTCACAGATGTTATATTGTTCACAACTAAATGAATTCATGTATTTTAGGCAACTATTATGCAGATAAACTCTAGTCAGCAGGAAACTTTTTTCCCTGACTTAACTGCACATACACTTCCACTATATACCAAAGACTATTTCTGTCTTCAATATGAAAAAAGATTTTGTCCATAAATCTTTGATCTATACAGATGGCAGTGCAATTGCGTGAAAGTCACCTTCAGCTAGGCTACTCCAAAGCCATCAGTGAAAGTCCTTTTCTTACATTACCTTTGCTATTATTTTCAAAATTTTCACTATTCATAGTTTGGATAATTTATAAAAACTCTATGAACATGCCACAAATCCAGCTGTAGCTAAAATGAAAAATAAATATTTCAATCCCTTCCTAAGTCTGCATATATTTTTGAAATAATAGTAATTAGAGAATAGACCATCATAGAATCACAAAATCACCAAGGTTGGAAAAATCTTACAAGATCATCCAGTGCGAATGCCCACCAGTCACCAATAATTCCCAGTAAACTATGCCCCTCAGCACAAAATCCAAACATTCCTTGAACACCTCCAGAGTCGGTGACTCCACCGCCTCCCT